AAAATTACTATTTTTATAGATATAATAACAATAATCATTCTTTAAATCATCAATTAATCAACTCTAAATCAACTATTAATCAATTATAATTTTCTATAAAATATCTATTAATTTACATTGAAACAACCATTTTAACAAAAATAATTAGTTGAATTTGCCGTTTGACATCAATTAATTCCAATTAGCTGTATTTGCTATTTTCTTTAGATAACTAATTTTTAACGACGAACTTTAGGTTTTTTAACTAAAATTTAGTTCATTCGACTACTATTTTTCGTTCAGTGATGTGTAGCTGGATATGAAGAATTATATAAGCATATTGAGAAACCAAAAAAACAGCAGCTAATAACCAACTTCACAACTACAAAAAAAAACAACAGAGACCGTTAATAACGAACGAAATTCTTCATTTCAATTAAATCCGACAGTTGTGCTAGACATATCCGACATATCTACTGATGATAGCGCTTTTGGTCAAGTCCGTAATAAACGTGCACGTTTGTTATCAAGTAGCAATGAAGACTTGCGAAATTGATTTTTATTTCTAATTTTAGTTTATATTTTTATTGTTATGTTGCAGTTTTGACCGTACAGGGTGGTTCAAATTCGATGTCCGAATAGGCTAACTCGAAAACTATAAGAGTTAGAAGAAAAGTAGCTGACATGTCATGATCTTGTTTTTCGAGAAACTGCTAATGCCGAAAACCTCATAGCGCTATCGTCTTTTGTTTTTCCGCTAGAGGCCAAAATTGAAAATATGAACTATGGGAAAAAGTCGCAAAGGAAGCAGATTTGAAGAGTGGTAAGTTTTCAAAAGTATCGTAGTATTGTAGATTTATGTATGTTTATTTTAATTTAAAAGTTACATCAAAATTAATATAGTCTAAAGTTAATACTGTCCTCTTAAAATACAATTTCCTTGCCACGGGACCTTTCCTGACGAATTAAAATAGTCCGTGAATTTTTGTCGAACTGCAAATGCTTCTCTTGCACTTCGGTTGTTGTTACGTGTCATTGGTCGCAGCTGATGTTGTGGCATACCTTGAATGACGTCTTCTGTATTTGGGAGAAGGGTAGGAAAGTTGGTTAAGTAGTTATGCAATACGCATGCTGCCTTCACAACATGTACTACGCTATCCACATGAATTTCAAACAGTTTTTGAAACACTCTGAATCGCGAAGCAAGTATCCCAAATGAACATTCAACGGTTTGTCGTGCTCGAGATAACCGGTAATTAAACACTTTGTTTCCGTAATTGTCCATCACACTTCGTCTTGGAAATGGACGCATCACATTTTCATGTACTGGGAATGCTTCGTCTGCGACAAAAACATAAGGCAGCGAGTCACCGGTAGGTGGGAAATAAGTTGGCTGTGGAAGGTTCAAAGACACTACTAAAGATATTTCCGTCACTGAATCCATGGAGCCTACATCAATGGTGATGAATCTATATCCTGAATCAACCACCGCCATTAGCACAATTGAGAATGTATGTTTATAGTTAAAATATGAAGATCCAGATGCGGCTGATTTTTTAATCACTATATGTTTTCCATCGATGGCACCCACACATGTATTATTGTAAAGATCATTCACTTGAGCGTTCTTCGTTACTCTATTGATAGTATATAACACATCCAAACGTTTCTTAATTTCTTCAAGTTGTGGAGATAATCGTAAGAAAGTAGTACCCCATGCGATTTTATTACTGTTTTTTCGAGAAAAGCCGAGATAACACATTCCATAAAGTGGTCATGAAAAAACGAGTATTGCCGGTGTGGAAGCAGCAATGCCATTTCACACGGAATTTGTAAATATTAGCTGCATTAATTTTTCTTATAGTAATATATTGTTTTTTCTTTGTTTCAGATACATCCAGCAGAGTGAATATTTGGGCCAAATGGTCTGATAGTAATAATAAGCATTTTATTGTTTTTAATATTTACAATTTTTATCCCCTTAATACATTCTAATATATATATTATTAGTATATTATTTTCACCCTCTACCCTCTTCCGCCATTTCCATACCCTCGGCTCCTCGGCCCAATCATCCCCTCATCCTTCCCTTTGTCTCCTTACCCCCACAACCATTCTCATCCATCGTTTCCCCTCTCCCCCCTCTCCTAAGATCTGCCCTCGGTCCAACTCCTCCTCCCTCAACTCACTGCACCCATTCAACATATGTTCCAACGTTTCCCATTCCTCCCTGCATAGCCTACACCACCTCTCCTCATCGGCCATCCAGTATCTGTTAGCTCTCTCCTCGTTTCCACAACGGAACCTAGCCACCAACTTCTTCCCTTCCTCATCTCCTTCCAATAACAAATATCTAGGCAGCCCCTCCGTAATTATGTCCCTGTACCTTTCGTTATACCTCCCCTCTTTTATTTGTGTCCTTCTTTCCTGTCTCTGCACATCTCGGTCCCTATCTCTCAACTCCCTCCACATCTCCCTACCCACCCTTCGTCTACTATTTATCTCAGTTACCGAGTAGCCCGCTCGTCTATAATAGTTGTCTCTGTCTCCTTTCCCATATCTGATCTTTCCCTCTCTAATTTCCCTCCAACACTCCCCCAAGATCCCGCAGTTTGGCCTCCCTTCTATTCTTTCTTCATATTTCACTGCTCTCCTGCCCCCCTCCACTCTGACTTTATCCACCTTTACCTCTTCCCTCACTATATACCCCGGTGTTTCTCTCGCCACCCCAAGCACCCATCTCCAGTATCTAGCTTGCACGTCCTCCAGCATTGCCTGCTCTCTCCATCCCCATACCTCTGCTCCATACATCATCACACTGCTAACCAGACCTTCAAACATAATCTTCCTCGCTGCCACATTCCTTCCAAAGACTCTCTTCCCCCAACCCCATACTTGTCCCATCACCTTATTCGCCTTTTTTGCCATAGCTATCACATGCGACCCCTCCCTGTTGTCCTCCCTGAACACATACCCCAAGTAAGTATACTCCCTAACCTCCTCGATCTCTTTTCCCTCCCATCTCCAGTTTTCTGTTCTTTTTCTCCCACCCTTACAAAACTTCATCATCCTTGTCTTCCCCACATTCACTTCCAGCCCCTTCCCCCTAAAATATCTTTCCAATGTCTTTATCATATCTTTCATCTCCGCCGCTTCTCTCGCCATGACCACGATGTCATCCGCGTATGCTAACATATGCACCTTTCTACCTCCCACCACCAACCCTCCCATTTGCCCCTTCCCCAATCTATCCTCCAGGTCCGCCGTATACAGTGCAAACAGACTTGGGCTCAGCGGACATCCCTGCCTCAGTCCCTTCGTCGTCCAGAACACGTCGCTCAGCTTATCTCCCACTTTTATCCTAGCCATAGTCTCCATGTATATTTCCTTCACTCTCGCAATTAGGTGTTCCGTGATCCCCCTCCTCCCCATCTCCTCCCACAACTTTCCCCTATCCACCTTATCAAAAGCCGCCTTCAAATCTATAAATAGGGCGTACAATTTCCCTCGCTTCTTATCCAGCTCTCTATCTGCCAGATGCTTCAACACGTACACGTTGTCGATTGCTCCCCTTCCCTTCCGAAAGCCTGCCTGCCCATCCGGCAAAATTCCCCCCAACTCCATCTCCTCCCCCAGTCTTCCCAACAGTATCTTCGTGTATACCTTGTATACCGAGTCTAGTAGGTTACTTCCTCTGTAGCTCTCTACCCTTCCCTTATTACCCTTTTTATATACTGGGCAAATTACCCCCACTTTCCATCCTTCCGGAAACCCACCCCCTCCACATACGCTATTCATCCCCTCCAACAACTTCACTCTCACCACCCTTGATGCTTCCAACCATGCCTCGTTCTGGATCCCATCTTCCCCTGGCGCCTTTCCCTTCTTCAATCCCCTAAGCACTGCTTCCATCTCCTCTTCTGCTATCTCCTCTCCCCCATAGCCTCCCTCATAGCCTATCCCTCATAGCCTCCCAAACCCGTTAGCCTCGTTTCGACCCCTCCCAATAATCCCATAAAGTAACTCTTCCAATCTGTCATGTGTATTTCGTTGGTTATCTTCTCCCTACCCTTCTTTCTCTTTTTCAGATACCTCCAGACCTCCCCTTCCCTTGTTATCCCTCTAATCTCTGCCGCCTCCTTCTCCCTCAGTTCTGTTTTCTTTTTACTGCATAACTCTCTGTATCCACCCCTATCTTCCCCCGTCTCCACTGCCTCAACCTCCTTCTCGCCTCCCTCTTCGCGTTCCTACACTCGCCATCATACCAGTCGTTCCTCCCTACTCTGCCGCCCCTACGTACACACTCCCTTTTCAGATGTTGATCGTAAATTATTGTCCGGGCTTTGTCTTTTCCTTTCTTCTTTCCAGATGGAATAAAAAACGATTTATTTTTACACCAATTGGCCATATTTGTGGATTTTTTAATTTTTCAAAATCCTCAAATTTACAGGAGATTTTGAAAGAGGAATAATCTTCCGGGCGCCGGGAGATCATCTTTTTGCAAGAAACGCTTCTTTAGCCTCGTCCGCCATTCTTTCTGGTCTCTTGCAAGAATCCTCCAGTGAGGTGCACCGATATATCACGCGTTCTTGGATACCTGATCCTTCCATCTGGGCCTTTGTTTCCCACTGTCTCTTTTGCCTGCTGGTACGGCCTCAAAGATTTCCCTCGTTGGTATGCTGTTGTCATAACGTTCTACATGTTCTTTCCATCTACGCCTGGCAATCTTGATCGTTGCTATTATGTCACTATTTTCTGAGTTTCTATATAAGTTATATATATTTTCCTGCACCGCACCATATATTTTCCGCAAAACTTTTCTTTCAAATGTTTCGAGTAGCGTTTCATCTGTTTTTGTTAAGGTCCATGTTTCCGCGCCGTAAATCAGCACCGGTATAATTAGGGTTTTATAAATTCTGATCTTTGTACTTTTTGATAGGTTCGATTCATTCAGATATTTTGACAGATCATAATAGCAGCGATTAGCAAGCAGAATCCGTCTTTTTATTTCTTTACTGACATCATTTCTCCAGTTTATTAAAGCTCCAAGGTATACGACCTCTTCCACTGCCTTCTTGTAATTGTCTCGTTTTTTCGCGGCATACATAAACTTCGTCGTATCCGCATTTATTTGTAATCCCATATTCCTTGCAGAGTTTTTAATTTTTTCATAGTTTTGTTTCGCCTCCATACAAGTTTTAGAGATCAAATCTATATGGGCTGCGTATAGCAGTGTTTGTGATGATCTATTAAAAATAGTGCCATTAATATTTAGTTCCGCGTCTCGTATTACTTTCTCCAGCGCTATATCAAACAGGAGATCCGCCAGCGGATCACCCTGCCTCACACCTCCGGTTCTCTCGAAATCATTTGAAATTTCATTTTGTATTTTTACACGACACACCACTTTCGACATTGTCATTTTTGTCAACTCAATTAGGTGTTTTGGAATGCTTAATTCATTCATGGCCTGATACAGCTTGTATCTTGAGATGGTATCATAGCTCGGGTTAAGATCAATAAAATGGTGAAACGTATCGATGTTGTACTCATAACATTTCTCAAGCACTTGACGCAACACGAAAATCTGATCTATCGCCGATCGACCAGTAATACTGGGTGTCGCGTATCTTCTTATGCGAGCTATCAAGATGTGAGATAGTATTTTGTAAGCAGTGTTAAGTAGTGTGATTGCACGATAGCTGCTGCATTCTAATTGGTCACCTTTCTTATGTAAGGGGCATATGACTCCGATGTTCCACTCATCCGGCATCTCTTTTTCGCGCCAAACTTTTAGGATGATTTGCAGCATAGCTTCTTCTAATCTTTGCCCACCGGCTTTAAAGAGTTCCGCTGTAATGGCATCACTTCCCGGAGCTTTATGGTCCTTTAGCTTTTCTATGGCTTTTTGTATATCCTGCAAACTGGGCATTTTTACTGGGTCATTGTTTTGTATTTCTAATTCTTCTCCTTCTTCTTGGTAATCAGAGCCCAGCAGTTCGGAGAAGTGTTCCACCCATCTATTTAAGACCTCCGCCTTGTTGGTAAGAATTTGTCCATTCATGCTATTACACATGTTGACTTTCGGTTTAAAATCCGTTTTCATATAGTTGACTCTTTGGTAGAACTTTCTCGTTTCTGACTGGTTTTTGAGTCGCTCTATTTCGTCCAATGTTCTCTTTTCACTCTCTTTTCTTTTCTTTTTCCTATGCATTTTCTTTTCCTCTCTTCTAAGATTTCTATATGTCTCCTCTGCCTCTTTCGTTTTCTCCAGTTGCATCTTCTGGTATGCTTCGTTTTTTCTGTTCGTCACCTCTTGGCATTCGTTATCAAACCAATCGTTTCGTGGTGTTCTATCTTCATAACCCAAAGTGCGTTCGGCTGCTTGTTTTATGACCTCCTTAGCACTTTGCCACATAGAATTTACTGGTTCGTCATCTTCAATTCTTAAGTTATCATTAATATAATTCTGGTATGCAATCAATGTTTCTTCTTGTTTTAGGGCATATGTATTGTATCTCCTTGATTGTTTTCCTTCAATTTGTTGAACGTTGGAAATTCTTGCTCTCAATTTCGCTCCAATCAGGTAGTGGTCTCTTTTTTGATGGATTTTTGCTCCCCTGTACGTTCTGACGTCCATAAGATTTGAGCAGTGTCTTCTGTCTATAAGTACATGATCGATTTGGTTTTCGGTTCTTCCACCAGGGGATACCCATGTGGCCTTGTGTATAGTTTTGTGTTCAAACATTGTGCTTCCTACCACCATGTTTTTTGAAGCTGCAAAATTTATAACTCGATTTCCGTTGTCATTACTTTCCTCATGGAGGCTATGTCTTCCAATACACCCTCGGTATATCTCCTCCTTACCAATCTTGGCATTCATGTCACCAATAATCACTTTTATATCATTGACTGGGGTTTGATCATATGCATTTTCTAAGTGATCGTAGAATTTGTTTTTCTCTTGGACTGAGTTAGCCAGAGTAGGCGCATACACATTAATAATACTGATATTGAAAAATTTCCCCTTTATTCTGACTACACACATTCTCTCGTTAATAGCTTTAAAGTCTAACACCATTTCCTTAGCTTTTTTCATCACCATGAAGCCGGTACCATATTTGCATTGCGTGCTGTGACCACTATAATACAGGTCGAAATTTTCCTTCTGCAAGACTCTCTTTCCGGTCCAACGTATTTCTTGTACTGCAATCAGGTCAGCTCCATATCGTGCTATTTGCTGCTCCAAGAGGTTAAGTGTCTCTTCACGGTTTAGTGTTCGAACATTCCATGAAAATACCTTTAAATCATTATCCTTTAGACGGTGTTTAGACGATATGGGTCGTGGTTGTCGTCTGACATTATCTGCTTCAGCAACAAAGTGCTTAAATTAAAATGAAAAATTTCAATTATGTTTGAATGTACTTATTAAAATTAAACAAATAAATATTTACATTTATCGATTGAAGCATGATAATGTAACAAAAATTGCACCAACCAACACGTTTATTCTTAACAAAACTGACGAAATAACTACGATAACTACAGTATTTATAGAACTTCTAATAAAAAATATATTTGTAATTAACTAGATAAAGTGAAGTACTTTTATTACTTAAAATTACATATTACATAACACATCTATCGAAAAATTAGTAACAAATTCTGAAAACTGATTTTTTTCTTATGTTTGATAAGATATCGAGCGTTTTACATGCTATGCTACTTTAAAACGTATCGTAAATAATAAGTCGTTTTATAATTAAAGAAAAATTAAGAAAATTCATATCTCAAGAACTAAATGAGATATCGAAATGAATTAAGAAGCCTTTTAAAGGAGTTTTAATATAGACTTGGTGTGCCTAAAATTATTTCTTAATTTTTTAAATATAATTCCTTCGTTTCCATAATTCTGGCAGATACGATTTTTTTAATTCAATCGATGAAAATGTAATTAAATAAATTGTATCTCAAGAACGAATTGAGATTTTACGATGAAATAAAATTCATTTTAAAGCAAATTTAACTGATAATTACTGTGTAGAAAATTATTTCTTTGTCTCATCAAATTTTGTTGATATAATTTTTTTAATTCACTTTTAACAAGTTCAAATTAAAAACAACAAATTTGAAAAAATCGTATCTCGAAAACGAATTGAGATATCTTAATGAAATAAGAAGCATTATGGAGCAAATTTAATCTACTTTCAAAGTGCCAAATATAATTTCTTCGTTTCCATAATTCTCGGAGATACGATTTTTTTAATTCAATCGTGTCGTTATTGAGGTTAAATCGATGAAAATGTAATTAAATAAATTATATCTCAAGAACGAATTGAGATATTAGGATGAAATAAAATTCATTTTAAAGCAAATTTAACTGATAATTATTGTGTAGAAAATTATTTCTTTGCCTCATCAAATTTTGTTGTTATAATTTTTTTAATTCACTTTTAACAAGTTCAAATTAAAAACAACAAATTTGAAAAAATCGTATCTCGAAAACGAATTGAGATATCTTAATGAAATAAGAAGCATTATGGAGCAAATTTAATCTACTTTCAAAGTGCCAAATATAATTTCTTCGTTTCCATAATTCTCGGAGATACGATTTTTTTAATTCAATCGTGTCGTTATTGAGGTTAAATCGATGAAAATGTAATTAAATAAATTATATCTCAAGAACGAATTGAGATATTACGATGAAATAAAATTCATTTTAAAGCAAATTTAACTGATAATTATTGTGTAGAAAATTATTTCTTTGTCTCATCAAATTTTGTTGTTATAATTTTTTTAATTCACTTTTAACAAGTTCAAATTAAAAACAACAAATTTGAAAAAATCGTATCTCGAAAACGAATTGAGATATCTTAATGAAATAAGAAGCATTATGGAGCAAATTTAATCTACTTTCAAAGTGCCAAATATAATTTCTTCGTTTCCATAATTCTCGAAGATACGATTTTTTTAATTCAATCGTGTCGCTATTGAGATTAAATCGATGAAAATGTAATTAAATAAATTATATCTCAAGAACGAATTGAGATATTACGGTGAAATAAAATTCATTTTAAAGCAAATTTAACTGATAATTATTGGGCAGAAAATTATTTCTTTGTATCATCAAATTTTGTTGTTATAATTTTTTTAATTCACTTTTAACAAGTTCAAATTAAAAACAACAAATTTGAAAAAATCGTATCTCGAAAACTAATTGAGATATCTTAATGAAATAAGAAGCATTATGGAAAATTTAATCTAATTTTATTGGTACAAGAATAAATTTGTAATTTTCCTTAATTTAGTCGTACATTAAAATTTGAAAATCGTTTACAGTAAATCCATCTCCACTCTTATTATGCCAAAGCCTTAATCCTGCCCATTTGTGTCCGTATTGATACACTGTTGAGATTTTCCATTGGTTGTCGTGGAACACTTTTCCAACATACCTATAAACATCGCTGTAATAACCCGCTCGAACCAGATTATTCAAGAAATCTCCTTGCACAGATGCAATGTTAACATATTTCCATTTTAAACGAGTTGGTTTTGGTGAACATAAGACCTAAATTAATCATTAAATTGAGCCAGCAAGATAACTTAGTTATATTTGTATTACCATAATGGCGTTTATGTTGCTAATAACAGCTTTCTTGGCTAATATAGCGGTTGTGGCTGTTTGAGATGTCGCATTGAGTGTGGCTGGGTAAAAATTGAGGAGGTTGATTTGTTCTTCCGCATCTAAAGATAAAGTGGTGTTGTTAATAGATTATATATTAATTAATGATGTATCGTACTATAGCATACACCCACACGACCAATAAACACGTTTGAATCTTCAGTAGAAATAGCATCACTGGGAATTTCTCCGTTGTAAAGTCTCCAATAAAAAGGCTCTTAATATTAAAAAAAAATTATATATAAAAATGTGTTAAATCGAAATTAAACTTACCAGTTGCAAGAACTGCTGTTGCGAATAATAAAAAAATTACACCAGTAAACATGTTTCGTGGCAACATTGTAGGTAAAATCAACAATTCCCTTTAAATTTTTCTGGTATTTATAGTCGATCATGGCAACGAAAATTAGATGGTAGATATGAAATTTATTTGTAAATACTTACGATAACCTCAATTTTGGGCGAAGATATTTCGAAAAAAATTGAATAACTTAGTATCATGGTTTCATCTTCCCAGATCAAGATATAGATCTATTTAGAACAAATCTTTAAAAATACAAGAATTAATAAAATCGTATCTGCTGTGTTAATGGGAGTTAATAAATAATTTATGTACGAAATTAGCATAAATAGTAGTTTATAAATTGATGTAAAAAATTGAGGAGAAAAGAATTTCTTTAACAAAGCCTAAAAATTGATCAATTTAAAACACATATTCATCATGAATTTTATTTCGTATCTCCGAGAATTATGGAATTGAAGAAATTATATTTGAAAGTAGATTAAATTTGCTTCATAATGCTTCTTATTTCATTAAGATATCTCACCTAGTTTCTGAGATACGATTTTTTGAAATTTGAGGTTTATAATTTGAACTTGTCAAAAGTGAATTAAAAAAATCATAACAAATAAATTTGATGAGACAAAGAAATAATTTTGTACACAATAATTATCAGTTAAATTTGCTTTAAAATGAATTTTATTTCATCGTAATATCTCAATTCGCTCTTAAGATACAATTTATTTAATTGCGTTTTCAACGATTTAACCTCAATAACGACTCGGTTGAATTAAAAAAATCGGATCGCCGAGAATTATGGAAACGAAGAAATTATATTTGACACGTTGAAAGTAGATTAAATTTGCTTCATAATGCTTCTTATTTCATTAAGATATCTCAACTAGTTTCTGAGATACCATTTTTTGAAATTTGAGGTTTATAATTTGAACTTGTCAAAAGTGAATTAAAAAAATCATAACACCTAAATTTGATGAGACAAAGAAATAATTTTCTACACAATAATTATCAGTTAAACTTGCTTTAAAATGAATTTTATTTCATCGTAATATCTCAATTCGTTCTTGAGATATAATTTATTTAATTACATTTTCATCGATTTAACCTCAATAACGACACGATTGAATTAAAAAAATCGTATCTCCGAGAATTATGGAAACGAAGAAATTATATTTGGCACTTTGAAAGTAGATTAAATTTGCTCCATAATGCTTCTTATTTCATTAAGATATCTCAATTCGTTTTCGAGATACGATTTTTTCAAATTTGTTGTTTTTAATTTGAACTTGTTAAAAGTGAATTAAAAAAATTATAACAACAAAATTTGATGAGACAAAGAAATAATTTTCTACACAATAATTATCAGTTAAATTTGCTTTAAAATGAATTTTATTTCATCGTAATATCTCAATTCGTTCTTGAGATACACTTTGTTTAATTGCATTACATCGATTTAAACTCAATAATGACCCTGTTGAATTAAAAAAATCGTATCTCCGAGAATTCTGAAAACGAAGGAATTATAATCGACATGTTGAAAGTAGATTAAATTTGCTTCATAATGCTTCTTATTTCAATAAGATATCTCAACTAGTTTCTGAGATACGATTTTTTGAAATTTGAGGTTTATAATTTGAACCTGTCAAAAGTGAATTAAAAAAAATCATAACAACAAAATTTGATGAGACAAAGAAATAATTTTCTACACAATAATTATCAGTTAAATTTGCTTTAAAATGAATTTTATTTCATCGTAATATCTCAATTCGTTCTTGAGATACACTTTATTTAATTGCATTACATCGATTTAAACTCAATAATGACCCTGTTGAATTAAAAAAATCGTATCTCCGAGAATCATGAAAACAAAGAAATTATATTTGACACGTTGAAAGTAGATTAAATTTGCTTCATAATGCTTCTTATTTCATTAAGATATCTCAACTAGTTTCTGAGATACCATTTTTTGAAATTTGGGGTTTATAATTTGAACCTGTCAAAAGTGAATTAAAAAAATCATAACAACTAAATTTGATGAGACAAAGAAATAATTTTTCACACAATAATTATCAGTTAAATTTGCTTTAAAATGAATTTAATTTCATCGTAATATCTCAATTGGTTCTTGAGATACACTTTATTTAATTACATTTTCATCGATTTAACCTCAATAACGACCCGGTTGAATTAGAAAAATCGTATCAACGAGAAGTATGGAAATGAAAGAATTATATTTAGCATGATGAAAGTACATTTAATTTACTTCATAATGCTTCTTATTTCATTAAGATATCTCAACTAGTTTCTGAGATACGATTTTTTGAAATTTGAGGTTTATAATTTGAACTTGTCAAAAGTGAATTAAAAAAATTATAACAAATAAATTTAATGAGACAAAGAAATAATTTTCTACACAATAATTATCAGTTAAATTTGCTTTAAAATGAATTTTATTTCATCGTAATATCTCAATTCGTTCTTGAGATACACTTCATTTAATGGCATTATATCGATTTAAACTCAATAATGACCCTGTTGAATTAAAAAAATCGTATCTCCGAGAATTCTGAAAACGAAGGAATTATATTCGACATGTTGAAAGTAGATTAAATTTGCTTCATAATGCTTCTTAGTTCATTAAGATATCTCACCTAGTTTCTGAGATACGATTTTTTGAAATTTGAGGTTTATAATTTGAACTTGTCAAAAGTGAATTAAAAAAATCATAACACCTAAATTTGATGAGACAAAGAAATAATTTTCTACACAATAATTATCAGTTAAATTTGCTTTAAAATGAATTTTATTTCATCGTAATATCTCAATTCGTTCTTGAGATACACTTTATTTAATTGCATTACATCGATTTAAACTCAATAATGACCCTGTTGAATTAAAAAAATCGTATCTCCGAGAATTATGAAAACGAAGGAATTATATTCGACATGTTGAAAGTAGATTAAATTTGCTTCATAATGCTTCTTATTTCATTAAGATATCTCAACTAGTTTCTGAGATACGATTTTTTGAAATTTGAGGTTTATAATTTGAACTTGTCAAAAGTGAATTAAAAAAATCATAACACATAAATTTGATGAGACAAAGAAATAATTTTCTACACAATAATTATCAGTTAAACTTGCTTTAAAATGAATTTTATTTCATCGTAATATCTTAATTCGTTCTTGAGATATAATTTATTTAATTACATTTTCATCGATTTAACCTCAATAACGACACGATTGAATTAAAAAAATCGTATCTCCGAGAATTATGGAAACGAAGAAATTATATTTGGCACTTTGAAAGTAGATTAAATTTGCTCCATAATGCTTCTTATTTCATTAAGATATCTCAATTCGTTTTCGAGATACGATTTTTTCAAATTTGTTGTTTTTAATTTGAACTTGTTAAAAGTGAATTAAAAAAATTATAACAACAAAATTTGATGAGACAAAGAAATAATTTTCTACACAATAATTATCAGTTAAATTTGCTTTAAAATGAATTTTATTTCATCGTAATATCTCAATTCGTTCTTGAGATATAATTTATTTAATTACATTTTCATCGATTTAACCTCAATAACGACACGATTGAATTAAAAAAATCGTATCTCCGAGAATTATGGAAACGAAGAAATTATATTTGGCACTTTGAAAGTAGATTAAATTTGCTCCATAATGCTTCTTATTTCATTAAGATATCTCAATTCGTTTTCGAGATACGATTTTTTCAAATTTGTTGTTTTTAATTTGAACTTGTTAAAAGTGAATTAAAAAAATTATAACAACAAAATTTGATGAGACAAAGAAATAATTTTCTACACAATAATTATCAGTTAAACTTGCTTTAAAATGAATTTTATTTCATCGTAATATCTCAATTCGTTCTTGAGATATAATTTATTTAATTACATTTTCAGCGATTTAACCTCAATAACGACACGATTGAATTAAAAAAATCGTATCTCCGAGAATTATGGAAACGAAGAAATTATATTTTGCACTTTGAAAGTAGATTAAGTTTGCTTCATAATGCTTCTTATTTCATTAAGATATCTCACCTAGTTTCTGAGATACGATTTTTTGAAATTTGAGGTTTATAACTTGAACTTGTCAAAAGTGAACTAACAAAATCATAAGAACTAAATTTGGTGAGACAAAGATAATAAATGATCAATAAATGATGAGATAATAAATGATTTATATACCAAATTAAAGGTGAAGTGTTTGCTTCACCATATCGGATTTTATAAGTTGATGAAAAACATTCATTTTTTTAGAGAACAATACGAAATCTTTAACTGCAATGAAATTTTTCTAATCTACAATCCATTTACTAAATAGATATAAAATTTTTGCAGTTTTTTTGCCAACCCAACTTCTATATAAGCGTCCAAATCGAATCTAAACTCATTACAAAGTCAAAATGAGTTTTAAAGTTATGGTTGTCTTTGGGGTTTTAGCCCTTATAAGTGCATCTATTGCGATCGATTTAAAATCAGAAAACGATGAAACATCCGACTTTTCGGCCTCATCGAGAGATGTTTGTATTTGATTGTTTTTATTGAATCTTTTGCAACGAATAGTTTCAAATTTGTTTTAGATTACGATTGGTCCAACCACTATGGATGACGAGATGTTATCTACTGCCGTATCTGTCGTAACATCAGCTCTTGTGAGATATAATACTGCCACGGAACGAGTTTTATTTATACAATCTTCTATGATCGCAGCTTATCCAGACATATTTTTTAATGTTGTTGAAGATTACGGTGCCTATACGATTAAGTCTTCTCAAGGCGCTCAAATTACCGGCCCTGATTTAAATGGAAAAGATAGACGTTTTTTAATTTTCTCTTAAATAGTTAAATATATATATACATATACAGGGCGCGTCAAATGTAATCCCCCCCCTATCTAATTTAAAAACGCTTGAAGTCCAACCGTTTTCAAATTAGATAGGGGGTGTTGCATAAGACGCACCCTGTATATATATATATATAAAATAAATATTTATAAGCCTTTTATTGAATTTATTCCATAATTTTGATGCACCCTGTATACATCCGTGAATTGCTTCATTGTTTTAATAGTATTAAGTGAATTCGTAAAAGTTTAAAAACGTGTTGATTTTGGCATCAAGGCATTAATGACATGTGTCATACAAAAAAAAAAATGTTAAATACGAAATTGAAATTATTATTTTTTAAATCTCGATAATTCTAAATGGCTGCACTACTAGGACGTGACTCGGTTGTGATGACCTGCCCGAATTGCCATCAAACCATATTAACAACAAGATTACGAAAGTATACAGTTTCAACATACATTTGGACGGCAGTTCTTTGTGTATTTTGTTGTCCCCTATGTCTTATTCCCTTATTTGCAAGATCTTGTTCCAACGTTGAACATGTTTGTCCAAATTGTAGATATATCGTAGGTATTTATAAACAACATTAAAGTATGTATACATTACAGAATTGTTATTAGTTATTACTTAACACCACGATTTTTTAAAACATGTTCAAAAATTAATACCAAGAATGAATCTATATTGTTTAAAGCGGTTTTGTTCATGAAACAGTACACTTTCCTCTACAAATCACGTAAGTTTCAATACGATATCTTAAGAATCCGATTTTTTACGATTTTTTAAAAAATTATTGTAGAAAAATTTAACTTTGTAAGATTATTAAAATTCTGATTAAGTTCAATAATTGATATCTCAAGAACAAATAGATATTTTCTAAAATGGGTTTCTTCATGAAACAGTACACACTTTCCTGTATAAATCACGTAAGTTTCATTACGATATCTTAAGAATTCGATTTTATGCGATTTTTTAAAAAAATATTGTAGAAAAATTTAATTTTGTAAAATTATAAAAATTTCGATTAAGTTCAATAAATGATATCTCAAGAACAAATCGATATTTTCTAAAACAGGTTTCTTCATGAAAAAGAACACACTTTCGTCTATAAATTACGTAAGTTTCATTAAGATATCTTAAGAATTCGATTTTTTACGATTTTTTAAAAAATATTGTAAAAAAATTTAACTTTGTAAAATTATTAAAATTCCGATTAAGTTCAATAATTGATATCTCAAGAGCAAATCGATATTTTCTAAAATGGGTTTCTTCATAAAAAGGAACACACTTTCGTCTATAAATCACATAAGTTTCATAAAGATATCTTAAGGATTTGATTTTTAGGATTTTTTTAAAAATTATTGTAGAAAAATTTAACTTTGTAAAATTATAAAAATTTTGATTAAGCTCAATAATTGATATCTCAGGAACAAATAGATATTTTCAAAAATGGGTTTCTTCATAAAAAAGTACACACTTTCCTCTATAAATCACATAAGATTCATTAACATATCTTATGAATTCGATTTTTATGATTTTTTTAAAAATTCTTGTAGAAAAACTTAACTTTGTAAAATTATTAAAATTCCGATTAAGTTCAATAAATGATATCTCAAGAACAAATGGATATTTTCTAAAATAGGTTTTTTCATGAAAAAGAACACACTTTCGTCTATAAATTACGTAAGTTTCCTTAAGATATCTTAAGAATTCGATTTTTTACGATTTTTTAAAAAATATTGTAGAAAAATTTAACTTTGTAAAATTATTAAAATTCCGATTAAGTTCAATAATTGATATCTCAAGAACAAATCTATATTTTCTAAAATGGGTTTCTTCATGAAAAAGAACACATTTTCCTGTATAAATCACGTAAGTTTCATTACGATATCTTAAGAATTCAATTTTATGCGATTTTTTAGAAAATTATTGTAGAAAAATTTAATTTTGTAAAATTATAACAATTTCGATTAAGTTCAATAAATGATATCTCAAGAACAAATCGATATTTTCTAAAATAGGTTTTTTCATGAAAAAGAACACACTTTCGTCTATAAATTACGTAAGTTTCATTAAGATATCTTAAGAATTCGATTTTTTACGATTTTTTAAAAAAATTTTGTAGAAAAATTTAACTTTGTAAAATTATTAAAATTCCGATTAAGTTCAATATTTGATATCTCAAGAACAAGTCGATATTTTATAAAATGGGTTTCTTCGTGAAACAGTACACACTTTCTTTTATAAATCGCAATAACTTCAATAAGATATCTTAAGAGTTCAATAGAGATACGAATCTTTAATAATTATATAAGTATAATATAAAAATCGTAACAACCAGGTTTATGGAAAATAAGAAATTATCTTTGGTGCACTAAATCTAGATTAAATTTCCTTTAAACTCGTTATTTCATCGTGATATCTCTATTGGTCTTTGAGATACGATTTTTTAAATTTTTTTAATTTTCACTATAACTTCAATAATTGTCGAAAACACAGTGTTATTAAAAAAATCATAACAAGCAGGTTTATGGAAATTAAGAAATTATCTTTGTAGCATTAAAACTAGATAAAATCTCCTTTAAACTCCTTCTTATTTCATCGTGATATCTCTATTGGTCTTTGAGATACGATTTTTTAAATTTTCTTAATTTTCATTATAACTTCAATAATTGTCGAAAACACAGTGTTATTAAAAAAATCGTAACAAGCAGGTTTATGGAAATTAAGAAATTATCTTTATAGCATTAAAACTAGATTAAATTTCCTTTAAACTCCTTCTTATTTCATCGTGATATCTCTATTGGTCTTTGAGATACGATTTTTTAAATTTTCTTAATTTTCAGTATCACCTCAATAAGTTACGAACACACAGAGTGTTATTAAAAAAATCGTAACAACCAGGTTTATGGAAATTGAGAAATCATCTTTAGAGCACTAAAACTAGATTAAATTAGCTTTAAACTTCTTCTTATTTTATCGTGATATCTCTATTGGTCTTTGAGATACGATTTTTTAAATTTTCTTAATTATCACTATAACCTCAATAAGTTACGAATACGCAGTGTTATTAAAAAAATCGTAACAAGCAGGTTTATGGAAACTAAAAAATTGTTCTTGGTACACTAAAACTAGATTAAATTTCCTTTAAACTCTTTTTTATTTCATCATGATATCTCTATTGGTGTTTGAGGTACGATTTCTTAAATTTTCTTAATTTTCGCTATAACTTCAATAATTGTCGAAAACACAGTGTTATTAAAAAAATCGTAACAAGCAAGTTTATGGAAACTAAGAAATTATCTTTGTAGCACTAAAACTAGATTAAATTTGCTTTAAACTTCTTCTTATTTCATCGTGATATCTCTATTGATGTTTGAGATACGATTTTTTAAATTTTCCTAATTTTCACTATAACTTCAATAAGTTACGAATACGCAGAGTGTTATTAAAAAAATCGTAACAACCAAGTTTATGGAAATTAAGAAATTATCTTTGCAGCACTAAAACTAGATTAAATTTCCTTTAAGTTCCTTCTTATTTCATCGTGATATCTCTATTGGTGTTTGAGATACAATTTTTTAAAATTTTCTTCATTTTCGTTATAACCTCAATATGTAATGTGTTATTAAAAAAATCGTAACTACTAAATTTATGGAAATTAAAAATTTATTTTTGGTGTACTAAAACTAGATTAAATTTCCTTTAAAGTCCTTACTATTTCATCGTTATATCTCTATTAGTATTAGAGATATGATCTTTTAAATATGATATTGTCGATTTTGTTATCAAAATTTTGATTAAGTTCAAAAATTAATATCTCAAGAACGAATCGACATTTTCTAAAACGGTTTTATTCGTGAAAAAGTACATACTTTCCTGTATAAATAATGCAAGTTTCATTAAGATATCTTAAGAGTTCTATTTTTTACGAATTTTTTTAATTTGACTAAATTTATTAAAATTCCAGTTATGTTCAAAACTTAATATCTCAAGACCGAATCAATATTTTTTAAAACGATTTTCTTCATGAAAAAGTACATACTTCCTCCTATAAATCGCAACAATTTTATTTTCACGTTTTTTAAAAAATGTTTATAGAAAATTGTTAATTTTGAAAATTATTTTTGGTGTAACTTTGGTTGCCTATACACCACAATAATAATCCTTAGTAAGCACTTCTAAAGTCTAAATCACCATTTTAGAGCTGCATCTCTCTTTATTCATGTTTGTGTGAGAATTCGTTGAACTTGGACAACGTTTATCGCTAAGAAGTGCTGATAATAACGTTTTTATTTGAATCATTACTCCTAATCTAGGCGTAATCGTTCATTGTGTCAAACATCAATAAATAAATTTAACAATAAGTAATTTTAGAATAGAAATTATTACTAAAAAATGGCTTGGACTAGGTACCAGCTGATGTTAGCCTTTGTAATGGTTACAACAGGAAGTATTAATTCAATCACCACAAAGTAAATATTAATTAAAAACTTTCCATTACACTTATTTATTAATTTATGATCATTTTTAGATGGGCTGATTTGTTAGAATCGAAAGGACGGGATGGTGTAGTAAGACCTTTTGATCACCCCTTTGTCCAAGCTTTATCAATGTTCTTCGGGGAATTCCTTTGCTTGGTTATGTTCAACATCCTTTATAAAGTTTATAGTCGAAGGAGAGATGGCTCAGAAGATGTTCATGTTTTAACGAAAGGAAATAGACACTTTAATCGCTTCATCCTATTAATTCCTGCTATGTGTGATATGACAGCAACTTCAATTATGTATATAGGACTTAATTTAACTTATGTATCAAGTTTTCAAATGCTTAGAGGTAAAATTTTTATTAACATAACCTCAAACTAAAATTTTTTTATTGACATAACCTCAAACTAAAAAATTTTAATTAATTAATTTTTTGATTTAGGTTCCGTTATAATCTTTGTGGCGTTATTAAGTGTGACTTTTTTGGATAAAGTAATTAAAAGGCGACAATGGAGTGGAATTTTTTTGATTATTTTGGGGTTGGTTATTGTTGCAATGACGGATATTATTTATAAGGATATGTCTGGGCCTAGTTTTGGACCTAACAGTATTATTACTGGTGATTTATTGATTGTTTTTGCTCAAATTATTACTTCTATACAAATGGTTATCGAGGAAAAGTTTGTTCATGGCTTGGATATTCCTCCGCTTCAAGCTGTTGGATGGGAAGGTAAAAAAATGAAATTATTATAAATTAATACAGTATATTTCGGATATAACGAACAATGAAGGGACTTGAAAATCAGTTTGTTATAACCAAAGTTCATTATAGGCAATAATTAAAAAAAATTATGAATTAAATTGATTGAAATTAAACAATTGTGGGAAGGAATTAAAAGAAATCAGTAAGAACATACATTTATTTCAACAATAAACACAAAATAAAGTTAACAGGTTATTTAAAAAATTCATTAATTTTGGTTTAAATTAGAGGATTTGTTGCAAACATCCTTTCAATATAGCTAATTTCTACATTAGCAAAATTGCGATTGTAAATTGTGGTTTTATGTCCGCAAACGTGGTTAGTAAAAACGAAATTATCCTTCGTTTTTATTATTATTTTTTTAACTTTAACAAACAATTTCACATTAAGTTACTTTCTTAACTAGAGTTTCTTTTTACCGACCACTTCTTGCTTACTCTAATTTACCATTGACACCATAGATGGCGGCACTTGTACATTACCAAATATTTTATAATTTATTTAACCCTTTATGCCGCGACGGTACTTTTCAATACTCATTTTCAGCTTTAATTTAAAACAAGTCTCATTCCTTAATTTCAACAAGCACGATGTTTAAATTAGCATCTTTTTTGACATTTTTAGGTTATACGAAAATGTACGTTTTGTTTCAACATTGTTTTTCTCAATTATTTTGCAATCCAACCCAACAATTATTATACATCATTTTAAAGAGAAAGCTTTGAGCTTTGATTTAGAATAAGTTTCATTCCTTAATTTCAATAAACACGGCTTCCAGGAATTTTTAAATTAGCAACTTTTTTGACACTATTAGGTTATACGAAAATGTAAGTTTTGTTTCTACATTTTTTTTCTCAATATTTTTCCAATCCAACCTAACAATTATTTTACATCATTTTAAAGAGAAAGCTTTCAGCTTTAATTTAGAATAAGTTTCATTCCTTAATTTCAAGAAATGCGGCTTCCAGTAATTTTTAAATTAGCAACTTTTTTGACACTATTAGGTTATACGAAAATGTAAGTTTTGTTTCAACATGTTATTTCTCAATATTTTTTCAATCCAACGCAACAATTATTATACATCATTTTAAAGAGAAAGCTTTACGCTTTAATTTAAAACAAGTCTCATTCCTTAATTTCAATAAACACGGCTTCCAGGAATTTTTAAATTAGCATTTTTTTTGACATTTTTAGGTTATACGAAAATGTACGTTTTGTTTCAACATTTTTTTTCTCAATATTTTTCCAATCCAACCCTACAATTATTATACATCATTTTAAAGAGAAAGCTTTCAGCTTCAATTTAGAATAAGTCTCATTCCTTAATTTCAATAAACACGGCTTCTAGAAGTTTTTAAATTAACATCTTTTTTAACACTTTTAGGTTATACGAAAATGTAAGTTTTGTTTCAACATTTTTTTTCTCAATATTTTTCTAATCCAACCCAACAATTATTATACATCATCTAAAACAGAAAGCTTTGAGCTTTAATTTAGAATAAGTTTCATTCCTTAATTTCAATAAATGCGGCTTCCAGGAATTTTTAAATTAGCAACTTTTTTGACACTTTTAGGTTATACGAAAATGTAAGTTTTGTTTCAACTGTTTTTTTCTCAATATTTTTCCAATCGAACCTAACAATTATTATACACCATTTTAAAGAGAAAGCTTTCAGCTTTAATTTAGAATAAGTTTCATTAATTAATTCAATAAACACAGCTTCCAGAAATTTTTAAATTAGCATCTTTTTTGACATTTCTAGGTTATACAAAAATGTAAGTTTTGTTTCAACATTTTTTTTCTTGATATTTTTGCAATCCAACCCAACAATTATTATACATCATTTTAAAGAGAAAGCTTTGAGCTTTAATTTAGAATAAGGTTCATTAATTAATTTCAATAAACACAGCTTCCACGAATTTTTAAATTAGCATCTTTTTTCACACTTTTAGGTTATACGAAAATGTAAGTTTTGTTTCAACATTTTTTTTCTCAATATTTTTCCAATCCAACCCAACAATTATTATACATCA